TTTCCTCATTTTTGATCAACTCCTCATACTCCATGAATATTGCTGTCTTCTTGATAGTTTCTTCCTCGGTTAAAATTCTATCTCCAAGCACCTCATCCAGTTCTGCCATTTGACTTAACAATTTCTTCCTTTGATATCCCAAATTCCCTGCTCCACTCCTTGAGTTTTGATTTGAGAGCTTTTAATTTACAGGCCAGTATAAAGTCAGGCATGCCTGAAAAATTGAAAGAACTCCACCATTCTTTGACTCTGTNTGATCAGATGCTAGTCTTTGCAGTGGAATCTGTTTTATATTACTAAAACTATCATCCCACTCCTTAGAAATCAGGAACCTATCAATTCTGGAAGCCATGTCTTGATTATCCCCTTTAAACCAAGTGAAGCTACCATCTTCTAATCGTAGATCAATTAAGTTCATGTCTTCAATGAAATCAGAAAATTCCACCATACCCCTTGTTCTCCTCCTACAATCTTTTTTTCTGAAATGAATCTGGTGACATTAAAGTCTCCACAAACAGCCCAAGGCCCTTCCATCAATCCCCTTATTGCACATATCTCATATCTCATCCCACACTATCCTTATCTCAATGTAGTTATTTGGAGCATGTACCCCAGTTATATGACATGAAAAATTCTGAAAATGTGCCATAAACTTGCAAGTCAAAGTGTAGCAACCAGTTTCCAGAACTTCCCCCTCCCAGCTTCTACAATCCCACATCATCATGATACCCCTTCTAGTGCCACTAGCTTCCAGGTGAGCAAATCTGACCCATCTTCCTCCCCACACTTCTTTGACAATCTCTCTAATGTCCCCCTCTAGTTTAGTCTCTTGGAAGCATATGATGTCTGCATTCCAGTCAACTACCAAACTCTGCACAATTCTCCTTTTATCCCTGTCATTCAATCCCCTTACATTCCATGAAACTATTTTGAACTGCATGGATCCAGGGTAAGCATCTTCCTCCCCTTACTCCTTTCCCCCTCGCTCTTGAATTTAACATCGAAAGTAACTAGACCTTTTAATTCGTGTTCCTCGTTAAATATTGTCTTCTTACACACACTGTCAGGCTCCATCCTTCTAGCTTGTCTGCAGCTATCTACTTGTAACAACAATTCCAAAGCCTCCTCTTCATGCCCCCGGAAATCTACCCCCAAGTAATTTGTCCAGCTTGATCAAATTCTTTTGGACCCATAGTGATGTCTCCCTTGCTGTGACTTGAATGGCTTGTTGTTGCTGAATGAGAAGAGGTTCAGCCTCTTCCACTTTCTAATTTTCTATTGTATTTTGTTGTGCTAATTCCAAAGTTTGTTCTTCCATTCCCCTGCTCTCATCTTCTCTTTCCTCCGGATATTCTGTTGCCCCAATTAAATCTAGAGAAGATCCCCCGAAAACAGCCTCTGTTATGGCCGCATTTATCTCTGCACAGTTTCCTTGAAAATCTGCACTTTGAGGCTTTGCATGCACCAACTTTTGGGTGGAATAAGGTTCTAGAGCTCAACAAAGAGATCGCTGAGTAAATCTTGTGAAGTGGGACCTTTTAAGTCATTAAAAATGACTTGGCCTGCAAAGTATGGCCCAAAAGAATTATTAAAAGCAACCTCCTCATTGGGCTCAGCTTGCTGGCTCATTTTAGTTGCTTCATTAAACCTAACCACCTGCTTCTCACGTGCATTTGTTTTCACATATCTTCCAGCTGTCAAATAAGTACCACCCACGTGTTTTCTGTCTTTGAAATCCCTGCAAGAAGGGGATTTTTGTACTTCAGCACAGTTGGTAACCCTATTTGCCCTCTGGGTAAAGGCAATACCTGGGTTTTGCTTTCCAGCCAGATTGGAATGTGGTGAGTGATTCCTTTACTAGTTATGGATACCTCTCTTGGTAGATTCCTCCCATTGTTCCTTACCAAAATTCTGGCCCACTTCAGATGATTTTTGAGCTCTGTTTCTTCTTCAGTAGCCACCCATCCTCCACAGAATTCGCCTATTTCTTGAAAAATTCTATGCGACCACAGATGAAGGGGAATTCCTACTGCTTTAATCCAGGTTTCTTTGATTTCAATAGAATTTGAAATACACCCTGCCATGGGGTTCCACTATTCTAATTGCAACCTGAGCTTTTTCCAGAACCATTGCCCTTGAATGGTCCTCTCAGCCATGTATCTATTAGGGAATTCGAATAAGAACAAATCCCAGTACATCTCATAGATGTTCACCCCAAAAACATTTTTCCAAGTTGAAGTTGACCACCTTCTTATGTCAGCAAGTGTGGGTTTTTCCTACGCTTCTTCTCCGAAACTCCCAACTAAACATCTCTTCAAAGGCCCATTCTCTTGTGCATTAGCAGATTCAGAGATGTCAATATTTCCACTGTTACAAGTCACCTCTGCTTCACGAAGACTCCTAGTCTGCCATTTACTATCTTGTACAACCTTCTTATACGGATAGTTGGCCTCAGTTAATCTTGGGGGAACAACCACTGCTACTTTTTTTGAGTATTTAATGAAGTTGTTGATCTTAAATGCTATCTCATGCCAACCTGCATTAAAGACTGGTTCATGAATAATAAGTACTGATCTTCCTCCAACATTTAATGACAGAATACTTATGTATCTCCCATGCTCATTAAATTTCCTGGTGCAAAAGTGCTCTGAGTCCTGCTCTGAAATTTTCCATCTCCTGACCACTCTATTCTGGTCCTTTGAGGCCTCCTTAAGAGTGAAGCAAATCCATTCCATGATCAACCCATTCATACCACTCTGAGTTGCTAGCAGATCACCTGGTAATATCAAAAGATTTGAACCCAGCATTAAAGTAAATCCTGTTCTCCCCCATTCCAAAACCTTGGATAGAGATAAGAATGGAGAAAGCAACCACAGAAGGTGATTCCTTGAAAAGAGAGAACAGAGGGAGGGGAAGAAAGAGAAAGAGAAAGGTATCTCCGATGGAAGAAAACCGGAGAAGGAGAGATTCTCCCTCCTAGAGGGAAGGAGAGAGAAGAGTCTCAAAAAGAGTGCCTGAGAGCATTTGCATGATAAAACAATAGAAAAGGTTATAGGATTAAAAACAAAAGTCAACAGGTTACAAATATATTGGTATTGAGAGAGAGAGAATGCTGGTTTTATTGCGCTACTTTAAGATCTACATTGGTATTTTTACCATCTCATAGACTGGAGCAATGTTTCTAGCCTTGTTCTTATCCGGTGATGAAAAATTTCCCAAATCCCGCGATGGAATTTCGAGGAAAAAATTTGCTGCTAAGAAGGATGCTGTTAGTTATTGTGATAAGGAGGATAAAAATGAGTTATTTAAGAACACAAGGCTAGTTACAATTTCAATGACATTCAATCGAACATTATCTGAAGTAAGCTGAAGCAATGACCTTGAATGAGATTCTGCACATGGGAGATTTTATCGGTGTGGAATTTTAGTTCTTTTTTATCTTCACGAGTGTTGTTGATTAATTTGCTCCTGCGTGAGGATATTTGACGAGGGGACATTGTTAAGGTCTTTGCAATCTTCTGTCAATTATGGGAAGGTGCTTGTTATGAAGTTTTGGTGGAACCTGACAGGGATGACGGATAGCATAATTAACAGAAAACTCATTGAAAGACTCTACAAGACAATTTCTTATGGAGTTACTACTGTCGATTGGAAGGGAAGCAGGATCATTTATTGATAAGAATCAAAGTGCAGTTCTCGATTTTGTTTCTCCGATCTGACTGGCCATTATGATGAAATTGGAGGCATTTAGATGATTAGAAAGTATAGCATGCCTGGAGATTAATGGTTGTAATCTCTTCAGGAAGGTTCAATGTCTTTGAGAGACATCCTAGTTATCGTCATATCATATCTAGAGATAATGTTCCTTTACGAATTTATAGGTGCTGGGAAGAAGCAAGTTTAGAATTCAACAATCAGTTCCGAAGTCTAGAATTGCCCTTGGGAAACATTAAAGTGCAATAGACTCAATCAGTGTTATCAAAGGCGAAAAGTGCAAAAAAAAGCTCCAAGGTCTGTTGGGGCTTTAAGCGCAAAGCGCAAATAAAGCGTGGGCTTTAATGAAAAAAGGCACAACTAGAGAAAGAGTAAAAATATGTATATGTAGTCTAACACCAATAATTATAAGCATGAATAACAAATATATGGACAAAGAAATTGGAAAAAAATTATGATAAAGTGAAGAATCAATTATTTAGTGTCGTCTTTTCAGGATTACACTCATTGGAAAGGAAAAGTATGGTTTAGAGCCTTGATGCAACACTGAAGCGCCCACAAAGCGAAGCGAAGCGCTCAACATGTTTTGAGCCTCGCTTCAGGGCTTAAGCACGCTTTAAGCGCGCCTTTAACAACACTGGACTCAATCCATTTAAGGACCAAGTTAACCATTTGATTTATTTAAAGATCATATGCACTTAGGCTAATAATACAGAGAACAAAATTAGAGTAAAGCAGTAACTCATGGACCAAAACTGCTTTTTCCTTGTGGGGAACTCTTTCTTAAAGAAAGTATTTTTCATCAAAGTGGTGAAATGACTTCCCTTGCTTTTGGGAAAATGTCATTCTTTTCTGCAAGTATCCCAACTCTTACTCATTATCACTTGCTTCAACCAACTCGTGAACCGTATTGTTAAAATTTTCATTTGAAAAACATTATAATCAATCTTTGATACTCAAAGATATCACCAAACACTATCATCAAAACCTATCTTCCACTTTTAAATTTAACATGTGCCATTTACACTTATACCCTACTAAATACCAGAAAATGTTTTTCCGAGGTAAAACATTTACACAAAAACATTTTCCATCGAAAATAATCTTGTTTGTGCTAAATGCACCCATAGCTGGGTTGTGTTTTCATCTTTGTGGTCTTCCAAGAGGGGCATCCTCTAGTTGCTACGAGTTTGGTTTCCTCTTACTAATTTATTGTTCTGAGATTATGCCTTACATTAGCGTGCAGATTTTGCAACTCCAAGTGATAGGCCACATTCATATTTCTCTACTTTTTGGCTAATTTCACGTTCTATCTATTTGGCAGTTACAAGATGCTGGATGCTGGACTGATGCTGCAACATTAGCGGCAACACATTTAAAAGGAACTGATTATGCAAGGTTAATACCTATCTTTGATTAAAGAGAACGTGGATATTATTAGTAGTATACTTGTCAATATGGAAAAGTTAAAATGTCTGTCCTGCAGGGTTTTGCTAAGGTGGGCTCAGCATGTTCTTCATTCTGAACACAACATTTGGAGGTATCATCATCTCTTCATCTGATATTTTCCAGAAAATCAATGGTTTTCTTATCTAGTAATAACTCAATGCAGGGCACTTATCTTGTATGTTGCTGCTGGTGCATTGCCAGAGGCATTGGCTGCTCTTCGTGGGGCACAACAACCAGATACAGCAGCCATGTTTATACTTGCTTGCCGGGAAATCCATAGTGAATATCTATCTAGCTTGGATGATGAATTAAGATCTTCAGATAAGTTGGTTAACTTGCCGGGACTGAACCCAGAAAGTGAAGATGTCATTGCAGTCGGTGAATACTATGGACAATACCAGAGAAAACTAGTCCATCTTTGCATGGACTCCCAACCATTCTCTGACTGAGAAAAACTTGGTTGGCATATCTTTTGCAGTGCGTCTTAAGATATCGGGCTCAACTATCCGAGTCACCAAGACAAGCTTCCCTTCCCCCGAACCATACATTTGAGCCTAAACCTCGAGACATTTAAGCGCCAAGAGCCTTGCCGGAACTACAGTTTGGTATCAGTTTGAAAATATTTGGCCTGTCGCACTTATCCAATAGAGAAAGTAATCTGCAGTTCTTTGTGGGTCAATCCTGACTGAATTGGTGACGACGCTTTTAACCTGGTGGGAGATGTTTTTTTGACATGTATACTACCACTCGTAAATTCATTCCACTGAGATGAACGATTGTTCTGTTTAGAAGTTTGTTCCTTAATACACGTCCTTTGAAAGCTAGCCAGATTACAAGATCAATTCTTTTGTATTAAATGGAACTGCTGTATATTGATTGATTGACTATAATTATATAATAGGCATTGAATCATTGAGTTCATTGTTATTTCATAACCAATAAAACCATCAAAGTGGTAGTTCATTTTTATGCACGATGAACTAGCAAACCGTCAGAAGCATGCTTGAGCTTTATAACTGTTGCACGTAATTGCATCAACGTGAATGATTTGGAGTCCAAGATTATTTGTCTTGGACTTGGAGTATCAAGTTGTTTGACTGATAACTTCAGGATTCAAATTCATCCTTTTCAATGAGACCTTCTAAGTTCTAATACTTTTTTGAGAATAGTTTAACAAAGGACGGTAGGTGTATTCGAGAAAAATCTAATCAAATCGACTTGAAACGTCCAATTTGCATATGGTTGCAGGCGCCGTGCATCTCCTGAACCAAAAACGTGTATTTTACCCAAATTTTTGAGCGGGTGAGGTACTTTATTCCACCTGATATGGCAAAAACATGTGTTTTACCCCGTATTCTTTTTTTTGTTGTCTGTCGTTGTGTTGTTTTCTTACATAACGAAACAACTATAATTTTTAGCTACACCGGATGTGCAACTAAAAGTGTATAAAAATCTGAACAGAGAAATTCAATTTGGAGTGCGAATGATTGTTCTATTTCACATTTTTAAGAAGAGAGGCTTTTGATATTTTGATTGTAAAGGTAAAAGGTTTGAATAATTTGTTTTCGATAAAGAAGAAGACGAATAGGAGGGAAGGAGAAGAAATAGGCAGAACCGGGGAAGGGGAGATCTTTTTTTTTTGGGTGATCAGAAAGAGAATGAAAAAGCGGGGATATTTGTTTGATTGCTTCATCTGATACGTTTTATTGGCACATGGTGTAACGACACAACCAATTATTTTGGTAAATTTATGACTTAAGTATGGTTGGTTCAGGTCCGATCGAGAGGTTCGAAAATGATTTGGAGCACTTAGTTCCTAACAAGAGGCCTTAAGTGAAGAAAGTTGATCAAAATCAACATTTTTGAGTAAACGGTCTCAAAATCATTTGAAAATTCCTATAAGTTGGTATGATTGATTTTGGACTTGTACGTATATTCAGATTAGGATTGGAGGGGCTGGGGCGATTCGGCACTATTGCATGAAAATTGAAAATTTAAGATTCATAAATTTAACTTGAGAGTTGATTTTGCGTTGCAACCATTCGTATTGTGAGCCTTTGGACAAGTCCATATAGGGTATTTAGACTTGTTGGGATGATTTGGAGGAGACCTGAGGGGTTAGGAAGAGTATCGGCGCGTTTGGAGCAAATTTAAGTTTTTTTTTTTGAATCTAGCCAGTTTTCGGACTGGTAATTGAAAAATAGCCAGCGTTTGCAAAATCACTGAAAAATAATCACTATTTTACTGTAACACGGAAAGTTCCAGCATAATATACTGGACATTGATGCACCTGTGTATGAACTTCTAGCATATTATACTGGAACTCCAATACACGAAAAGTTCCAGCATAATATACTGGAGATTGAAGCACATGTGTATGAATTTCTAGCATATTATGAACATGCTTATCAAGGAACAAATAAAATATATACGTGCTATATTAATGATACTTTAGAATGACAATATATATCAAGATATTTTGTCTCAATGCTTGTCCGATTGAGTCACAAAGAAAGTTCAAGTTCATAACTTACAGACAAAAATCCAACCAAGAAGTGATACACAACTAATCCTAAATTGTCTCTATGAGTCCAACCACATTGCCGTTCGTGTGGAAGCTGAGTGATAGTAAAGAGGAGCAGCACCAGGAAGCTGGGTCTGCAACTGCAGCATAGCAATTCCATTGTTTCTCCCTACAAATCACCTAAGATAAATGAAAAGTCTTGTTTGCCATGTACCATTTAATCCCAATATTATATATGAACTTGTAAGCAAATTATTTGTATGCAGTTTCTCAATTCTCCGAGGGAACTGGATAGACTGGTCGCAACTTCTTGGTGACATATTTGTGTGTGGTAAAGAAAATTCTGACTCTTCATATTGCTCCTAATTCAATGAACCGACAACAATGATGTTTCACAGCTTTTGATTCAGTAGACCTACATAAATGATGAAATTGAATAGCAGGCTCTTCATTTCCTTCAAAATTCACATTATTAGCAAGATTATTTAATTTATTGTTATTTATTATAAATTATTTTTACATTCTTGTCCAAAAATAGTATAACAGTAATGTTTAATAGAAGGACAATAGTGTCGATCAAACTTATCTGGACATTTTGGTATTTCGACTTCTCACTTAGAGGTGTTCCCGCTTATAATATAGTGTCACGACCCAATTTTTCTTATAGGCCGTGATGATGCCCAACGTCGCTGCTAGGCAAGCCAATGGTGAATTAACCTTGTATTTATTCTTTTTAATAATTTCAAAGTAGTTGATTTTTATTTATTAAATAAGTGAGAAGTGAAAAATTTAATAAAGTAAAGCGAAAACTAATGAAAGAGCAAATGCAATGAAATAAATGCTAAAAGCAATAAAGTCTACTAGTATGTTTTCAAGACCTGGTGTCACAAATGTATGAGCAACTAGTAGAATACACAAAACACTAAACTACTGTCTCAACTAGAGTAGACAGAAAGTAAATATAAAAGAGAGACTGCGGGTGCTGCAGAACGGCCTCAGAGAGTAGCTCACCACTAAGCCTCAGGGTAACGTGGGTGCGCGCCTGGATGACTGCCAGATGCACCTGCCTCAAACCCTGCACGATTAGTGCAGAAGTGTAGCATGAGTACATAAACAACATGTACCATGTAAGTATCCCGTCTAATCTCGAAGAAATAGTGACGAGGGGTCGACATTGACACTTACTACGGGCCAATAATAAAATATAAAAATTCTAAATAGGCATGGAATATGTGAATAATAAAATAATACAATAGAAGACAGTGAATAAATGATCCGTTAACTGATTATCCCAAAATCTCCATCTAACACATACTAGTTCCAAATCGATTTCGGTCATTAAATAAATTATAATCTCTCAAGCCATAACATAATATCAAGTGTAATCGGGCTCCGAGTAATATCACGCATGATTTATGTCGAGGTCATACGGACCAATCCAAAATACTATGTGTACTGCCGAGGATCGAACGGTACTGACCATAGATGCATATATTATACTGCCAAGGCGAACGACCCGCTCCCATGAGAGTAGAGAAGTTTACCTCGTTCGTGGAAGTACTTGCGATGCTAGTGGACATGGATTTCTCAGAGTTATTATGTATTCCTCAATTCTTCTCAAAAATAAGAAATCTAAATTGGAAATTTGCAACTTTAAATTCCCTAGTTTCAGCTCTATTAAATACAATTAATATGCATAACAAACATAACAATACAATTAAAGCATGATGTGGATCTAAGACTACCCGGACATTTTATGAAATATTGCTATGCACAGACTCTCGTCACCCAGTGCGTACGTAGCTCCCCACACAAGTAGTACACAACAAGATACACCGAAGGGGATGAGTTCCCTCTTACAAGGTTAGACAAGAGATTTACCTCGTTCTCAAGCTCACTTCCTATCACGACCCAATTTTCCCTCCGTATGATGTCGTGACGGCACCTAGTCTCTATGACTAGGTAAGTCTAACATTTTGCGAAATAAATAAAATAAAAACATAAATTTAATAACTAACTGTAGCAATAACACTATAACTGAGTACCATGCCACTTGGCATGTACAATAACCAACTCCTCAATATACTACACAACATTTCCAAAACTCGGAACATCGTGAATCACAAACTACAGGAGGAAAATCTAGTGTTTCTTACATCAGAGTCTATCAAAAGAAAAAACCCAGAAGATAATGGACATGGGGAAGAGTAGAAGGGGACTCCGAGGTCTGCGGACGCGACATATATACCTTGAAATCTCCAAAGCTGTCCCGGCTCACTGATAGTGCGGCTGATAAGGAGTACCTGGATTTGCACACGAAAAATATGTGTAGGAGAGTAACATGAGTACACCACAATCGGTACCCAGTAAGTGCCAAGCCTAACCTCGGTCGAGTAGTGACGAGGTCAGGTCAGGGCCTTACCGGTATATATATAATAACACAAGATAGAATGAAATATCGCAAATGAATAAATATTGAAATTTAACAAGAATGAAATAATAGAAGACAACAACTCAGTACACAGAGATAACAACAGGGGATTTCCTGAGATACCGTCTCGTAGTCCCAACGTAAATGTGCAGAACAGGAGGATCTCCCGGAATACCGTTCCGTAGTCCCAAAATAAATATACAGTACAGGGGGATCTCCCAGAATATCGTTTCGTAGTCCTAAAGTAAATATGCAGTACATGGGGATCTCCCGAAATACCGTTCCGTAGTCCCAAAGTAAATATGCAGTCAAACAATAGAATTCAATAGTTACGACACAAAATTCTACGGTTCAACCTAAGTACCAGTTAAGGAAAGGCAGGTAAATTCACTAAACATGTTGCATGTAGTTCAAGTAAACAATTAAGGCAAGTAGGCATGCTATTCTAGTCTAACCGGATATCACACATTCTGATGGAACTCAAATAAGAAGGAGATCAGGTTATTACTTAGTACAAAAATTGGGTTTTTACACAATTAGCCCGTGTACGTACTCGTCACCTCACGTACACAACACTCATATATCAAAAACAGTACAAATCCTACGTGGAGTTTCTCCCACACAAAGTTAGGCAAGCCACTTACCTCGAACCAAGCTCAATCAATCGGTAAGAATGCCTTTTCCATGAATATTCGACTCTGAATGGCTCGAATCTATCCAAAATAATTCGATACAGTCAACAAAAATTATAGGAATCAATTTCATAAGAAAATACTACATTTTCAATAAAAATCCAAAATTAACTCAAAAATTGCCCGTGGGGCCCACGTCTCAGAATCCGGCAAAACTCACAAAATCCGATAACCCATTCAATTACGAGTCCAACCATACCAGTTTAATTCAAATTCGACTCCGGATTGACTCCGAAATCTCAAAAATTCGTTTCTATGAGATTTCTAATTTTTT